CCTGCTAAACGGGAGCCCCGGCCCCTGCAGCTGCTATCAGATCTGGAAGACAGTAACATCTTCACCATCATCACGGGCAGGAAGCTTCACAATGCCCCCACAGACTACCCGTTCTGCATTAAGGTAACAAATGAAAATACTGCAGCCTGAGCAGCTCAGTTAACATCCATCCATTATCTATATTGCTTATTCCTGAATAGGGTTGGGGGGCGGCTGGAGGCAATCCTAGCTGACATTGGGCGAGAGGTGGGGTCCACCCTGGACAGGTCACCAGTCTATCACAGGGCTGACATGTAGACAAACAACCACACACATTCACACTCACTCACTACAGGCAATTTAGAGTCTCCAGTCAACCTAAGCTGCATGTCTTTGGACTGTGGGAGGAAGCTGGAGTACCTGGAGAGAACCCATGCAGGCACAGGGGGAACATGCACACTAGGTAGGTGCTGAGTCGGCCAGGCCTGGAAGCTGGAACCTTCTTGCTGTGAGGCGACAGCTCTAACCACTGCTCCACCATGTCCCCAGTGCTGAACATTGGATAAGGTCATTTTACTCTTTCCACTGTTTTTTCTTTATTAGATTTTTAATAGCTGTGCTCCTGTAAGACAAGGAAAACTGCAAACTGTCCATGCTGTCAGGAGTGGATGATGTGCTGTTATCGGACCTTTAGTAAACCCGCTTCTCCTCTTGTATCTTACGTGTGTGTGTGTGTGTGTGTGTGTGTGTGTCAGAGGACATGAGGGCTCAAGCACACATTCAGCACTGTGCGTCCCACTCCAGGTGTTATCAGTAGTGGGTCACCTACTGATCTAGGATAAGCCCGGATGGTACAGGGGGGTCAGGTCTGCCCGATCCCCTCACCTCTGCCTTGCACATTTACACACTAGACCACCGAGCTGTCAGATACTGTCCATGGGGGTGACAGTGCAGAACTGTGGAAAGGATTTTGCTTGGCATCTGGGGGTGGCTGGATTATTGTTATGGTGACATGAATGAATTTCTCAGTAGGGGTTGCATCTGATGAGCAGTGTAGCTAATGTTCTTACTGGTGGAGAGAAAAGGAGAACATCTGTGTGATGTGCAATAGTCCTGGGGCAGCATCTGAAAGTAACTTATCTAGTTGTAATTCAGTGTCTTTTCCTTTTACTTGTAGTTTCTAGTATATTTTTTGTGTTGTATTCTATTTTTTGAAAGATAAGAAATAGAGAGGACCCTACCTTTACTGCTAGATATGTTGTTAAATTCCATTTCACTTTATTTTGAATGGTTTTGTAAATAAATATGTATAAAATACAGTATGTATGTAATAAATATTTGATTAAAAAAAGATTCTGCATTTTTGAGCAATTCACTGGAATGTGGAGTGAGTGATAGTGCAGGTAAGCCATAATGTTATTTTAAAAGGTTACTCTTAAGATGCCAGTGGCCCAGTAGTGTATTTCATCTGGTTATCTTGGTCAACATCAGTCCTGTATACTTTCTTGCAGTTTGATTGCAGACTGATCAGGATAATCACCTTTATTGGCCAAGTATGTTACACACAAGGAATTTGTTTCCAGTTCAGAACCGAGGCAGCCATCTGCGGTGCCAACTGAACCGATGGCTCTAACCATCCAGGGCAATTTGGGGGTTCAGTGTCTTGCCCAAGGACACGTCGACACATGGCCTGTAGGCACCGAGACTCGAACCTCTGACCCTCCGTTTGAGAGACGACTGCTTTACCCACTGAACCAAAGTTTCCCCCTCAGTAAAGAAGAAATTAATGCGGCTGAAGTTCTGAAGTGATTCTGTGGGAAACGATGAGTTCTGTAATTTGGTTTGGAGCGAAATGTGTCAGCTCTCAACAACATCTGTGCAGAATTATTGATGCCTACAAAATTTACCAAAGTGCAAAGCTGTGTTACAAAACAGACGGCCCTACACTACATGTTCATGCTTGTGATGTGTGTCTCATTAATTTAATATCCCACTGTGTCTGCTGTTTGGTTCACAGCCCAGTAAAGTGAGGAGTGACTGTAAGGAGCTGAAGATGTTGTGTGCAGAGGATGAACAGAGCAGGACCTGCTGGATGACTGCCTTCAGACTGCTCAAAGTAAATCCTTTACTGTTCTGTGTTGTTACTGTATTTAAATCCAAGACTGTGACATGTGTTACTACACAGTTCACAGAGGTCGACACATGCTGCTAATTGACATCCAATTTGCTTTTTTTTTGAAGTGTCAATGTAATTAATTTGTCAGGACTGTGAAACCTGAGTTGACGCCGTCTCTCGTCTCCTGTCTCCACAGTATGGGATTATATTGTATCAGAGCTACAGCGTCCCCCAGCAGAGGAAAGCTAGTGTGTTGCCTTTCTCAGCACCTGTGGTGAGGCTCTGCTCTCTGACACCACCTTCTTACAACTCCACTCTAATGCCAACCAAGGTTAATCCTGATTGATCCATTAATTAGCTGATGGTGAATTGGAAAGTTGTGTCTCTCACTCTCCTTAAGACAAAAAAAAAGCAACCATGGTTTGGATCTTTTTCTTTCTTTCATTTTGCATAAGAATTATTAGTTATGGTCACTGATACTGTTGACATTTTGTTTGAGGTGAAAACAGTGTTACAGTGTGTAGTGAAAGGCTTATGGTTCATGTTCAGATCAGGCTGCTCATTTAAACAAACAGCTGTCTATAAACAGAAGTACGTCAGATCCATAAAATGTTATCCCAGAGTTATTTAAAAAAGTGAACATTTGCATAATTCTGAGGAACTTGTTCAAGACCGTGCATGTAGCTAACAGAACGCTGTGCATTTGTATGTTGCTACACCAAGACCAATCACCTCAGACCATGAGATATAGAGATGGGCGACAAGGAAAAACCAATACAATGTCTTATGAAGGTGGTGGGCCAACACGTGGCAAATGTTTTTTTGTCCAGCCAACCAGATATTTAGTTCATAATGCCATAAAACAGAGAAAAGCAGTGAATCTCCACATTGGAGAAGCTAAAACAAGCGGCTGTTTGAAATCTTTGCTTTGTGAATAAATCATAGATTATCAAAATGGTTGAGAAATTTATTTCCTGTTGCTAAATCTTTTTAGCCTTTATATGATGGTCAGACCTTGAAAAGTAACTGAAATATGACTTAATTTGATGGCAAAGTGAGTGAGAGTTCATCTCATATGACAGTGATTGCTCATAATAAGTTGTTCTTTAGTTAGATTTATTTTCAGATGAGGGAGCAGTCTTAGTAATTAGAAGAAATAAAACCTAAATCATCTGAAAGCACAGAAACCCCGGAGAGGCCTGGGCTTTTTCTCACAGGGGTGTTTTGTGGACTGATTGAAGTCACTCTTTGTGCAGACAGGATTTGTCATGCCCCAATGAGTGTGTCTGGCTTGTTTGACCTCTGACCCTTGTCTGACCCCCCTCCCCTTCACCCAACTCCTTGTGTTCCCCTTCCTGCACTTCCCACCTTCCACCACCCATGCCCTCCACTTCCACCCTGCTGTGTCTCCTAACAGCGGAGTGTTTCTGAGAACTCCCTGGTCGCCATGGACTTCTCTGGACGGACCGGTCGCATCATCGACAACCCAGTTGAGGCCCAGAGCGCAGCCCTGGAGGAGGGACAGACCTGGAGGGTAAGGTGGAAGGGGATGAAGTCTGGGCTGCATGATGAATAGCACTTTAGAAAATAGAAGAGTTCATACTGGTGGATTTTAGTTCCAAATGTGTCATTAGACACAGTCAATATGAGATTCCTACAGTTTTATCAGCTTTCCAGTAAATATTCTTCTGAAGTAAAAAAAAACAAAATGTTTTCACTAGGCAAGTAATTTTAACACTGTTTTCTTACAAACACCTTTGACCTTGCCACTTCTGTGCTTAAATGTTTTCATGTAAAGTGTGTGCACTGGCCTTTCATTCTGAAATAATCTGTCTTTCTGCTCCGCACTTTTCTTAGTAGATGCAGCAGCAGCTCCACTTATCAGCTGCTGAGATCACAGCTCATAGAGCTGAGCCAGAGTAGAACAGCTGCTCATGTTATATTTGTGGTTAACCTTGCTGTAATGACTTCAGTCATTCAGTACTAAAAGTTTAAATCTTTGTGTCTCTGTTCAAAACGGTGTCTCAGTATATTTCTATGCATATTCCTCGGATGTAGCATTCGCTAAAGGGCAGGTCAAGGCTCTGGTCAGGGATTCTGGTTTCATTTGATTTTACCTCATGGTAAATGATGGTTATTTCTTCCACACAGAAACGGAGCCAGCGTATGAATGCCCTGGGTAGTCCCAGCCCTTTGCACCCATCCTCTCTGAGCACAGGTACTCTCACTAAGCAACACATTGACTTTAGCGCAGCAAACCGCAGAAAGACAGTGGATGCACTGATGTAAAGTGGTTGTGAAGATATGCAAAGGAAAAAGCTCAAACACTGAGTCTTTGTCTGTGTTCTAGTGATCCACAGAACACAGGTATGGTTTCATGGTCGCATCATGAGAGAGGATGCTCACAAAATGATTATACAACAAGGCCAAGTAGATGGGTAAGAACTACTGTATGTTTGACCTGATGTTATGTCACGGTAAATGTTGCTCATGTGAAATGCAGTTGAAGAATGGTAAAAACTAGCAAAGTAGAAATATATTTTATGAAACAAATGTGAACAGAAGCTTAAAATGTCGGTGTCAAACAGCTCTTTGGCTTGTCATGTTACCCACTGGATTAAGATAAGATTTGTTCTGAGTATCATTCATATTGCAGTTTATCATTAGGTCTTTGAAATTCCATGGAGTTTAGCTTTTCATACTTTTCATCAAACATAATCATTTCTCTCTAATGTTCAGGTTATTCTTGTTGCGGGACAGTCAGAGTAATCCTAAGGCATTTGTGCTCACCTTGTGCCACCACCAGAAGATCAAGCACTTCCAGATTCTACCGGTCAGTCACAATGCAACAGCACGAACACCATGCTGCAGGAAATGTGTCATGGATGCTGCTAAAGAAGGAACAGTGAGACAGATCACTGCATCTGTTTATTTCCTTACAGAGAAGAAATCCACTTTAGATGAAGGACCCAAGTTACAATAAACATATTTTCTCACTGTATGTAGAATGCTTTACTGGCAAATACTTTGCCATACTATATATACTGTACAGTGCTGATGCAACAACTGCAGTGTATTTTAGAACACTGGAAAATTGTTAGTAATAGTTTTATCCATTCTATTAATGGTCCTTTTTAACTAGACTTAGTCCACAGCCATGCTAGACTCTGAGGCTGCACTTGGGCACAGTGGTGCTTTAACCAAAATATTAACATGCTCACATTGACAGTGCTAACATGCTGATGTGTAGCATGTATAATGTTTACTGTGTTCACTGCCTTCGTTTACACATTAGCATGCCAAGGTTTGCTAAGTGGCTGATGGGAGTTGTACACATTTTGTCATAAACAAAAATATTGGACACATTTAAATTTTCAGTTGAAGTTCAATTCTTCCCAGGTGGATCATGAGCATCTGTATTACATTTCATGGCAATTCTTACAGTAGGTGTGGAACTATTTCTGTCTGACCCATGTTGGTGGACTGACCAGCAGACTGCCTAACACCACACCACTGACATGACTAGTAAACTGTTTTTGACAACTCAGTCGCAGATAAATGGCTTATTAATGGGGATTTTTCCATTTGTTTCCTCAAATGTTCTTTCAGTAGTTCATAGTGATAAAAGTATACATGTCCTATTGCCATGTGATGGTTAACCATCCTCTGTCCTCTCCATTGCTTTGGTCTGAAGTGTGAGGAGGACGGTCAGGTGTTCTTCAGCCTCGACGACAGCGCCACCAAGTTTACAGACCTGATCCACCTTGTGGAGTTCTACCAGCTCAACAGAGGAGTGTTGCCCTGCAAGCTCAAACACCCCTGCACCGCGGTGGCCTTGTGACACTCCGCACTCCCAGTCCTCCACCACCCTTTTGTACATCTCTCACCCTGAGACCCCACCCCTGTCTGCCCCTCCCTCACAACACATTAAGCTTGAGGAGACAGAGGAAAGTCGGGTTCTGGGGATGTGAACAACTCAGTAGAGCCAGCATTGAAGGTTTGATGTCCCTAATACACTGTGCTTTTCTCTGCCTTACCGCTGTTTGGATGCTTGAATGGGAACCCTTTGGATAGTTCAAGCAATGCAAACTGTGGACCCGGCAGTCACCCACCTCGTTTTGACTGTGGAGAGAGTCCAGA